CAACATAGAGCTTACGTTCTGCTCTTCCCACATCGGTGTCTGCGGCTAAGTGAACATTAAGTCTAGTATAAAATCCTGTTTGAGCCGTGTAAGCTTTGACAAAATATTTTGGATCCCCTTCTCTAAGAGCCATGGTGAAATGTCTTAAGAGTTCATCGTAGTTTGGAATATCTCGAAAATGAGGCTTGATGTAATTGTCGATTATTCTTTGGGCGGCAGACCGAATTGGTTCATTTCCAAGTTGTCGTAAAGCTTCTAGACGTGTAGCTGACGTGGCTTGTGCGTTTGAAGAAATCAGTAGCCATTCTACCTGGCCAGAGTTGGCTACATAGCGGTTTTGTTCAGGTATAAGGTCAAAAAGTTGTCGAATTTCATTTGATGCCGCTTCTTGATATGGTAAACAATGGAATCCGTTCATAATATTTCGACTAACCCCTTTTTCCAAAAGTAACTTAACAATTTCTTGATGCCCACGAAAACAAGCCACATGTAAGCCTGTACTTTCATTTGGTTCTAATTTATTCATGTCATCAATCGAAAGTGTTTGAAGGAGCTGTTGAAGTTTCGTAATATCATTATTACGACAAGCCACATAGAAAGGAGAGAGTGAAGTGTTTGTATTGGGAGCATTATTCGATGTTGTATTTGGAACAGCCTAGGTATTCGGTACAAACTATTTCTACACTAAATAGACGCACATTTTTCTGATATATTTCCAGTTTCTTTTACAAATACATAACAGAAAACCAAAACAAGTCGGGTCGATTTCGAACTTAATTTGAAAACATGTATTTGTAGGCGAATACAGAAAAACAATGATTGAAAAAAGTTGAATCGCTTTGTTATATTTTTATTAAAATTCCACGTAATCTTCGTTTTCTCCTTATAACAATTGGAGGCATGCTATTTATGATGATCGGTCACTTGTACATTGAGCAATTCTGTAATTTCTATCTTTCTCAAGTCATCGATTTGTGTTTGTCTAATCGGCAGAAAATATTCTGTTTCGTGCATAGTGTGACCATTATAACTCCTTATCCATTCTGGTCTTCTAAGGTCGAAAATTCGGTATGCATAGAAAAGGCCGAAACAAAAAATGTCGAAACAAAAAATGTCGAAATAAAAAACATCGAAAAAAAACCGTTGAAAGAAAAAAGATCGAAAAAAAAATGTCGAAATAGAAAAGATAGAAAAAAAAATATCGAACGATGAAAATATCGAAAGAAAAAATACCCAATGTGTAAAAATGTCGAAAAAATTGTGAGTGTGAATCAAGAGAAAAGTCACATTTTTATTCATACTAGAATCCGGCAGCATACGGCTTTGCCGTGCCTCATCCTCTTTCTATCCTAAAAGTTTTACGCTCTTACTCTGTGCTTTCCACGTCTGACCGGTTTAACCAAGACTGAAAAATACCAATCCCGGATTCATAGACTTTAATAGATTCTAATGAATCTTGGTGATCAAAATAAAGTCAAGTAGTTTCATCTGACTCCATGGACAGTCACCTAGATCTCGAATCTACTTTTTCTCTCTCAAGGCTAACCCTACTTTACTCTATAACTTGTTACTTAAACGTTAGTCTACGCGACTCATATTTGCACCCCACACACATATATTTTATGTTCAAATTTTCGACATTTACTTTTTTCGGCGTAACTATCATTCGACATTTTTTTCCGATCTTTTTAGTTTCGATGTTTTTTTTTCGGTATTTTTTTTGTTCGACCTTTTTTTTCGATGTTTTTTTTTCGACGTTTTTAGTTTCGACGTTTTTTCCTTCGGCCTTTTCTATACCATTCAAAAATTCAGCTCACTCAATCTTGTATAATCCTATAGGAAACACTGAAACAATATTCCGCACGGAATTTATTTGGTTTTACTTCCGTAAATTTCTCGCAATTTCCTTAATTTTCTCGATGATATTCATCGGAAGCCATAAGAAAAAATCCGAAAATTTCTAATCGGAATATTGATTTCGTGAAGTCGTGGCAATTCCTCGACTCTGAGCGTTCCCTACGTATAGCAGTAGATCCGACTCTAGATTTTTCAGGCTAAGGTGTTCAAAATCAATTCGATTTTGACTGTTTTTTGAGTGTTAGGTACTAATTCTTCATTTTGTCAGCCATTAGATGATAAGTAACTATAAACTTCAATGATTTTTTACTTTAGAGCGAATACTTGTAGATTTATATAGTATATTTTCGTTTACAAACCGACGCATCCAATTTAGATGTCAAATACCTTTATTAAGATCGTAAACTCCGGTGTGTATTCAGCTAAATTATCTTACTTATAGATTTGTATAAGTAGGACTACAAATTTCAAGGTACATTAACATACTGAATTCTTTATTTTACTACAAGCACAGTGGCAATACATAGGCATTATGCGAGTGAATCCAAGATACAATCGTTATCTGTTACTGGAGTGTATTTCAGGTTTTTTTTGTTTATGTATGAGATATCTAAGCTAAACGAATCGAATCTAACCGAATTCGAGTCGTTACAATCCTGTTTGACCCGCTTTCACGAAACACGCTAGGACTAATTTCTCTCTGTATTATAACTTTTCATCAGATGAGATTATTTGAAGTAGGAGTTTCGATAGTAATCACGCTTTACAAAATAGAGCTATCGTTCAAATAGATCTATTCTTAATAAAGTGGCAGGCTTGCTATTTCTTCGTTAAATTCTGTCAATCACATCTTGTACATACCGGAGGATCAAAAGTTGTATGCGTTCCGTTGTTCATTATAATTAAATGAATGATGGAGTCATCGTCAATATTGTAGTACGAAACAAGTCTTTGATCATCAACCTCGGCGCCGTTAATCGCTAGATATTGCTCATCAAATGGGATGCCTACTTCACTTTGAATCTTGTCTTTCATATCGTGGATGGTACTCAATGGATTGATCTAGTCATTAAAAATAACTTTATTCACACAGCTTAATATAGAATATAGAGCAAAGTTACGTAGAGTGTGTTTATACCCATGTCTTCAATGTTGATAGTGATTCTCTAAAACATAATCGATTAAAATTACCTTTGTATATGTTTATTTGGTCAATAATTAGAATACATTGATATCTTATGCTTACTTACCCGAATATTAGTTGTACTACTTAATCCATGATGCATTGCTATTAGATTGATCATAGAATCGTTGTCTAATGAGTAGTGAGAAATAGTAAAATCGTTTTCCAGTTCTACATCATATGCAATTAATAACTGCTGATTGAGAGAAATTCCCGTCCATTCTCGAATTTTTTTCTTTACATCTCTGATCGTATCCGACGCTTCAACCTATAAAATACACAATGACACTGATAATGTTCACAGATCGATGAATATGGACACCATGTGCGACATAACACATTCGTAATTTGTCATGGCATTAGGACTGAATGTCGCATGGACATATCGTTACGAGCATACAACGTCGTATCACTAAAATGGTGACGGTGTAGGTTTAGGTGATGGTACCCAGATTCTCGAATCCAACGGTATGCTCTAAGATCTGGTCATCCTAAAGAATTCTATGGCGTTCCTGGTGACGATATTATGTCGGATTCAGTACGCCAAATGTCAATTGCTGCAAAATTTGCCGTGTAAATTTTATGAGCGTTCATTTAAACAGTATTAAATTTTGATCTTCGGCACTTATTGGATCAGACTGTTGGAAGCTTTCGAATGCAAAATAGGTTCCGTTGTAACTCAACCACCAGGTTTCTTATATAACCATCTGTTATCCTGTCGGATTTCCATAGAACAGTTATCGAATTGGATGAGATCCCAATGTTAGATTGATCGAACCTGGATATCATATCTTGTACCATTACACTTTCACCCCACATCGATATCCTCAACGTTGTGTCTATCCGACATTCAGTCCGGTCGCCCTACGATTATCGCATCCGACTACATGGTAAACGACCATTTTCCTTTCTCCGCAAATTATGGTTTACTTCCGCATACGATAAGAAGGTTACAGTCGTTTTCGCTCGCGTCTACCCTATCTGGCTTCCGTGAGATGAAAAAGAATACGATAATTACATTCAGAGAAAGGTCTTCAAAATTTTCAATTCTAATAATCATTGAGCAGAATGAAATGTAAGATGTGATAAAACGGTTTTCTTTTGTCTTAGTTTGTTTATGCTACGGTTTCTTTAGTGAGCTGTTGTTTGCGTATTTTTCGCTGGCTTGATCCAGATGGCTGGTGATCACGTAATCTAAACTAATTACAAGAGAACAATAAAATATTCAAAACAATACCAAACTTATAATTATACATGAAACCATAAGGGTGCGTGATGAACTCTTGCAAAAGAAAAAGTTTTAGGAAAAAAATTTCATTCACGAACACTTATCCATGTGGTCAGATATTTGGAAAGAGCAGTACGAAACGTAGTTAACTATATATATATATATATATACATAACCCTGGATTGGCCCGAACAACACCATATTTTATCCTTACAATAGTAGAGAAAAGCTACCACCCCACACAATGGGGGCTGATAGCTTTTTTCTACTATTGTAAGGATAAAACATGGTGCTGTTCGGGCCAATCCAGGGTTATGTAAGATCCTCTCTTATATGGTCCGGATAATAGTGGGTTTTATCCTTACAATAGGACTGTATCAAAACGGGACATCCTGTTAGTTGATCACTCCCATCTATATATATATAATGTTCAGTGTGTGTGTCTGTGCCAGGTCAAAGGTTAAAGGTCAAATAAGTCTACAAGAGAGAAAGCCCAACGGCTATTACATGCGGTACCCATAGGTCCTCAAGCGATATTATATTGGAGTACGCTTAGGCCCTCAACAGCCGTCCTATGGAGGTACCCATAGGTCTCAAGGGCTATTATATGGGGCACCCGTAGGTCCTCAAGAGCTATTATATAGGGATACTCATAGGTCGTCAAAGGCTGTTATATGGAGGTACCCATAGATCCTCAACGACTATTATATGGGTGTATCCACAGGTCCTCATAGACTATTGTATGGAGGTACTCATAGGTTCACAAGGGCTATTATATAAGGCTACTCATAGGCCCTCAATGGCTATTATATGATGGTACCCATAGGTCCCCAAGAGCTATTATATGGAGGTACTCATAGGCCCTCGAGGGCTATAGGGCTATAAGGGGTAGGGGATAAGGCTACAGGAATATGAGGCTATAAGCTGGTAAAGGGATAAGAGGCTCAAGCTGCAGGGGCATCAGCGATAAAGCTAAAAGAGCATAAGAAGATAAGGATATAGCGGATAAGTAGATGAGGTTGCATGAGATATAAGGAATAAGAGAATAACGGAATAATACTATAAGAAGTAATACCACAAGAGTATAAGGCTACAAGGGGTAAGGCTACACTCTAAAAAAAATCCGTTTTCTCTGAAACCTATAGAAGGTTTCC